CCGGATTGTTTGCGCCGCTCCCCCCGAGCCGCCGTCCGCGCCGCCTCCAGCCCCGCTCCGCGCGCCCTCGTTACCTCAGAATTTCACTTCAGCACTGCGCCGCCTCTGAGTCTGGGTATAATATTCTCTTTACTCCTAGTTGTAGAATTTCCACTCAGCCAGCCCTCCTGTGGCTCTGGACGTTGACCTTTCCCTGGATCAAGCTTAATTTGACTTGGTTGTTCCAGGCGGCAATCTCTGGTGTTAACCTATGCCGCCATCTTCGGTTCTTCATTATGTTTATTTTTTATAAAGGTAGTTATAAATATCAACTACAACATGACCAGTTACAGAAAGGAGGACTGTAGTGTCATGAGAATTTTCTCCTTATTTTGTTATGAATACACTGGAGTGTATATCTACATATATTAAGGAAATATCTTTTAGTTTCCCTCTTATGTCCCTTACCATGTAACATAAGATGTATTTATTTTACATTAGTATTTAAATATTGTTAATATTACATCATAGTATTTAAGTTATGCCATATCTGGAGAAGAGTAAACATCATTCAAGGATTTTATCTCCTCTTCTGGGGAAGAAATTAGTGCAATTCTGGTTGCATGCATGAGAGTTATATCATGTTAAGGAGAGTTATGTTATGTACTTTATTTGGAGATTAAGTATGGTTTAAGGAGACACACATGAGAGCTAAGGTGACAAGGGGTGTACTTGTGATGATTAATTTTGTGTGTCAACTTGTGGATGCCCAGTTATCTGATAAAACAGTATTTCTGGGTGTGTCTTTGAGTGTCTTTGGGAGAGATTAGTATCTGAATCAATAGACTGAATGAAGATTATCCTCATCAATGCAAGTGGGAATCATTTAATCCCTTGAGAGCCTGAGTATAGCAAAAGTGGAAGAAAGGCAAATCTGCTTGAGTTGAGGCATCCGTCTTTTCCTGCCTTTGGACATCCATTGGCACTCTGTTCTTGTTTTTTTGGACCCAGACTGAGACTTACAGCAGAGGTTCCCCAATTGTCAGGACTTCAGGCTTGTACTGAATTACATCACCAGCTTCCCTGGATCTCCAGCTTATAGATAACAGATCATAGGACTTCTTGGCCTCCATAACCATGTGGATCAATTCTCATAATAAATATCCTCAACTACATATCACTTATCATCTATCTATCTAATCTATCCATCTGTCATCATCTAGCTATAATTATCTATTGGTTCTATTTCTCTGGAGAACCCTAACTAATGCATATATATTATTGTAGCTTTCTCTTAGGTTAATGATTTGATTTACATTATAATATACTAGAGGCCCGGTGCACAAAAATTTGTGCATTGGCGGGGGGGGGGTGTCCCTCAGCCCCACTTGTGCCCTCTCACAGTCTGGGACCCCTCGGGAGATAACGACCTGCTGGCTTAGGCCTGCTCCCGGCTGGCAGAGGGCAGGCCCAATCCCTAGGTGTAGCCCCTGGTCGGGCTCAGAGTAGGGCTGACTGGGGGGTTGGGTGCCACCCCCTGTCATGCACAGAGCATGGGCCGATCAGGGGGTTGGGGCACTCCCCCTGTCACGCATAGAGTAGGGCCAATAGGGGAGTTGGGGTGCCGCCCCCTGTCACCCACAGAGCAGGGCGGATCAGGGGGTTGGGGCACTCCCCCTGTCACGCATAGAGTAGGGCCAATAGTGAGGTTGGGGTGCCGCCCCCGGTCACCCACAGAGCAGGGCGGATCAGGGGTTTGGGGCACCTTCCCCTGTCATGAACAGAGCAGGGTGGATAGGGAGGTTGTGGCCCCGCCCCCTGTCACACACAGAGCCGCAGGGTGATCGGGGGATTTGGGCTCTGCCCCCTGTCATGCTGCTCCAAGGGCCAGGAGGCCTCGTGACTCCACTGATCCCAGTGCTGGGAGGCCTTGCTGCTCTGCTGATCCCAGTGCCAGGAGGCCTCGCGGCTCCACTGATCCCGGTGCTGGGAGTCCTCTTGGCTCTGCCAATCCAGGGGCGTGAGGCCTCGTGGTTCCGCTGATCCTGGTGCTGGGAGGCATATTACCCTTTTACTATATAGGATAAAGGCCTGGTGCCGGGAGCTGGTCCATCCTTGCTATTTCAAGGGTCCTGGCATATATGGCATGCTGTTCTTAATATGTTTGCTCACCTTCTTAGCACTATGTGTTTTAACCAAGGTCACCTCTCCGAGAAAGGTTGTTTACCCAGGTAGGGATTTTCCCCTGAAGTTAAGGAGGGAATAAAACCCCTTAACTAAATGGCGGGTAATTAATCACTTTAACTACAAACAATCATGCTTAAGTAT